GTATAGCCAGAATGCTCTGTAAGTCGCTTTGGATAAAAGCGTCTGCTAAATGCATAAATTATTAAATTATTATAAATTATTAAGTGTGCTTACCAGTGTGCTGCTCCTCCTGACGTCCTCCAGCCGCTCCAGCACTTGCGTCAGGCTCGGGTCATCGGACTCCACGCACCATATCGGCGGCGTCGACGGGTAGGACTCCTGAAAGAGCAGTCGGCAGGTAACTGGCAAGATTTCAGCGAGACAAGACCTCATTACCCATAAGCGATAATGTAAAACTGTGAAGTGCACGATGGACTGGATCAGTTGTTCTCAAGATCTGCCTCCGTGCCACTAGTTAAAATTGCTTATTTCTCTGGATTTAAACATCCTTTGAAACATTTGGGATAATTTAAGTACACAAGTCAGCAAAATATATAACACTGTTCTAGTAGTTTTTGGATATTTTAATAAAAAAATCTTACATATTGTGCCTTTAAATGCTTAGGTTTGTAGACAAATCATTCTGGACTTATTTACAAAACCAAAACAAACTCAGACTTGTGAGGACACAACATCTCCCATTTATTTTCTTTTACAGTTTCCCATTCCTGTAAATTGCACAACAGTACTAACAGAGGAATAGGTGCGTCAAACGTTTGACTGGCAGTGACGTAATTACAACATTCCCATATTTAACCGGGTCAAAAAACACCTGCAAAGCAGGAACTTCCACAAAACACGCATGCACTGGAAATATGTCATCGTAATGCACGCTCATATTGACATAATTAGATCTATACAAACTCATCTGACATATTTTAGGTCTGAAAAAAATCCCTTGAAAGGGTTGCTTATTTGTATGCAGGTGCTTAAAAAACTTTGTCTTACAAAAACGTTCTAATTTTTAGCCCATTAGTTATTCATGTACATTAAAAGACATATACATGTTTCAAGACATGGTTTAATTTGAATGTACATTAACCGATTGAGTTTATAGCTGGCACTTATTTGTCCCAGCAGTACCAGTGGTTTCACACTTACACCTGCTCAATTATAATGCAAATATAATTTTTAAAAAATCTGCACCATTAAGGGAGTAGGTCACCCAAAAGTTAAAATTTGCTGAAGATTTTGAGAAATGTAGCATTGCATCACTTGCTCACCAACAGATCCTCTGCAGTGAATGGGTGCCGTCAGAATGCAATATTACGCATTTTAGCCAGAAGCTATGGTTTGAAGTTAGAAACATCTTGATACGCGTACGCTCTTCTGTGTCAGCCGCGACACAAGGATACGGTTTCTACGTGTATTAACGCTTTGATTTGAACGAAAACAGCGCATCCGTGCAGCGCGGCTGACACAGAAGAGCGCACGCTGCTTGCGTTCAGTGGTTATTCTCCAAAATGGCGCTACGGTGATGCGGAGAGGTTTGGAACGACATGGGGGTAAGTGATTAATGACAACATTTTCATTTTGGGGTGGAGTAACCCTTTAACTGATGGACTGGAGTGCTGTGGATTACTTGTGGATTATTGTGATCTTTTTATCAGCTCTCATTCTGACGGCACCCATTCACTGCGGAGCATCCATTGTTGAGACACTGATGCAATGCTACATTTCTCCAAACCTGATGAAGAAACAAACTCATCCTAATCTTGGACGGCCTGAGAGTGAACACATTTTCAGCTAATTTTAATTTCTGGGTGAACTATTCCTTTAAGCATTGTATAATATTTGTTGTTAAATTTGACCGCGTGCATTAAGCTGTTAGACAGAAAGAGATGCGAACTGGAAACTGCTCTGGGGGGTGTACATATTTAATATAATAATAATAACAATAATAACAACAACAAATAATGTAAGAAATACTAAATTATTACATTAAATACTAAATTATTATATTAAATAAAGCAGCTAATTAAAAAAAATCATAAAAATGATTTAACAGAAGAAGAATAATATTTTCCAAATTATAGTTGACAGTTATTTATTAGTTTTACCCAATAAAATGATCAAATACGCATCTGTTTTTGCTCGAGCTGCTGTAATGTGACGTCAGCGTCGCTCTCACGCAACAGAAGAAAATGGCTTCCGGAAATTCAGAAAACAAACCGTGAAACACAACCGCAGCGCTGGGCCAGTGACGGACACCGAGTGCGCACCTCAGATCCGACTAACTCACCACAACCAACCCGCAACCAGACGACTGGTTAACTGCGCAGAAGGTGTGCTGCTACTGAGGGACCGACGCCGTCTTACCGTGAGGTTGCAGTGGATGATCAGCAGCTGGTCTCCGGTAACGTTAAACTGGCAGCTCAGCTCGTCCGGTTTCCAGTCGAGGATCCTGAAGCGCTCGTGGTTCGGATCAAAGATGGACTCCAGAAACTTCAGCTCGGCCTTCAGTCCCGAAACCGACATCTTCCACTACTCATCTCCGAGAGAAGAGAACAAAAGAAGAAGAGAAGCGCCGCTGTTTCTGTGGGTGTCAGCGCGGGAATGACGCGCCTCACGCGGCTCCCCGGCGCTCGGTGTCGGTGTCCGTTTACCGCAGATCCGGAGTCCGTGAGTCAGAGGTGTGGATGTGGGCGCAGGATCCGGTGTGAGTCCGGAGCGGAAGCGCTTCTTCTCTGGGGTTTAAAGATGGAGGCGCGCCTGGAGGACCCACAGTCCCAGCATGCACCGCGGCCGCGACAACTCGTCATCGCGCGGCTTTGTTTACTGTTCGGAACACAATCCGTTACTGATTACACGTTACGTAATCCGTTACATTACACCTTTTAGTTACTTTTGACCTAACTCATTTATCACATTGATTTAAAAAGAACAATTCTGTACCATATTGACAAAAATGCAAAGAAAAATAAAAATATGTTCCATTCGTTGTTATTTACAACACGAAGCGCATTAAACATTACATTACGCCAAGGTTAGTGAGTTTAATGAAAAGCTAATAATTCATTAAATCATTAAAATTTAAAATTTAAATAAATAATTTTAAAATAACATCAATCAAAATAAATCACTTACTAAAAAAACCTATATTTTATCTGTTTACGTGTGTCACGTGACCATCACAGAACCGTGAACATGCAAATGTGATACTGAATATTTAACATATGTATTTTAAAATCTCAGGGGTATTAAAGTAAATACATGAGCTGAAAGAGGCTCAGATGACAAAACGTTTGGGAATGCCTGCATTAAATAAGAAATCATGTGAATTTGAGCATTTGAAAGAAAAAAGGCTTCCAAAATAATAATAATAATGCATGGTTAAGTAACCCACTGAGCGATAATTCAAATAAAAAATGAGTTTGTTCATCAGTAGTTGATGCAATGTTGAAATATTGAGAAAACACAAATGCTGTGTGTCCACCTGACGAGTGACTGATGTTTTAGAAAAGAACATTTAAAAGAGGAATTACGGAGAATCAATACATTATGAATCATTTATTGCTATTGTGTGAATAATATGTAATCATGTAATCAATAAAAAAGTAACTGTAGTGTGGTTACGAGTGTTTTAAAATATAATTGAATCCAATTACAAGTACTTTTTGGAATTACGTAATCCAGATTACATGTAATCAATTCTGATTATTATTTTGATAGTACTTTATCTAGCATGTCTCATAAAAACAGGAATTATGGGTATGAAATTAATCAGTTTAAACAAAGAAAAATAAAACTGATGCAAATAATTGTTCCTATACCTAGTTAATGATTTTTGGTTCGCAGAATGTTCTGGGGACGTTAGTTTTTGCTTTAAAAGAACATATGGAAAATAAATAACCAAACGGGAATCATGGGAACGATCTGTTTGAGAAAATATTCAAAATATTCCTTGAACAAAATATGTTCCATGTCCATTAACCATAATCATAGAGCCTAATAATTTCAGTTTATGATAATTCTGTGAAATTAGCATATATAAATTATGTAATATGCCAAATTTTGTCAATAATATTTGGCATCTGTGTTTATGTAAGTGCATAGCCTATGTATTTAATCATAAGGATTATATTTTAATAATATAATTGAATTATATTATATATTATTAGGATTGTATTTTTTAAATAAATTATAACTAAGAAAAATAAAACAATAATGGAAATAATTGTTACTACGGAGAAAAAAAAATGTTCAATTCCAATGTTTATTAATCATTAACATAGTGAGATTTAATAATCATATAATTATTACTGTTTAGGATAATTACGTAATATGATAAATGTGTAATAGTCAAAGTTTTGTCAATAATGTTTGGCATCATTGTTTAATGATATTAATATAATATAATTGAATATCATTGTTTGATTAATGATTTAATATATTTAATCCTAAGAAATATATTATAATTAAAATGTAATTTTGATACTTTATTTCAAGTACTTTATTTTGGTAGTAGTGTATCCAACGTGTCTCATAAAAACAGAAATTATGAGTAAAGAATTAATAAATTAAAACAAAGAAGAAACTGAAAAAAAAACATTGGAATTTTAGTTATATATATATTAATATAGTGTGTGTGTGTGTGAGTGTGTGTGTGTGTGTGAGAGAGAGAGTGTGTGTGTGTGTGTGAGAGAGAGAGTGTGTGTGTGTGTGTGAGAGAGAGAGTGTGTGTGTGTGTGTGAGAGAGAGAGTGTGTGTGTGTGTGTGAGAGAGAGAGTGTGTGTGTGTGTGTGAGAGAGAGAGTGTGTGTGTGTGTGTGAGAGAGAGAGTGTGTGTGTGTGTGTGAGAGAGAGAGTGTGTGTGTGTGTGTGAGAGAGAGAGTGTGTGTGTGTGTGTGAGAGAGAGAGTGTGTGTGTGTGTGTGAGAGAGAGAGTGTGTGTGTGTGTGTGAGAGAGAGAGTGTGTGTGTGTGTGTGAGAGAGAGAGTGTGTGTGTGTGTGTGAGAGAGAGAGTGTGTGTGTGTGTGTGAGAGAGAGAGTGTGTGTGTGTGTGTGAGAGAGAGAGTGTGTGTGTGTGTGTGAGAGAGAGAGTGTGTGTGTGTGTGTGAGAGAGAGAGTGTGTGTGTGTGTGTGAGAGAGAGAGTGTGTGTGTGTGTGTGAGAGAGAGAGTGTGTGTGTGTGTGTGAGAGAGAGAGTGTGTGTGTGTGTGTGAGAGAGAGAGTGTGTGTGTGTGTGTGAGAGAGAGAGTGTGTGTGTGTGTGTGAGAGAGAGAGTGTGTGTGTGTGTGTGAGAGAGAGAGTGTGTGTGTGTGTGTGAGAGAGAGAGTGTGTGTGTGTGTGTGAGAGAGAGAGTGTGTGTGTGTGTGTGAGAGAGAGAGTGTGTGTGTGTGTGTGAGAGAGAGAGTGTGTGTGTGTGTGTGAGAGAGAGAGTGTGTGTGTGTGTGTGAGAGAGAGAGTGTGTGTGTGTGTGTGAGAGAGAGAGTGTGTGTGTGTGTGTGAGAGAGAGAGTGTGTGTGTGTGTGTGAGAGAGAGAGTGTGTGTGTGTGTGTGAGAGAGCGTGTGTGTGTGTGTGAGTGAGAGAGTGAGTGAGTGAGTGTGTGTATGTGTGTGTGTGTGTGTGTCTGTGTGTGTGTGTGTGTGACACAGGAGATAAAGTCCTTGCAACCATGAAAACAATTCTAAAGAGCAGCACCAAACTGTCAGGTGCTCACCTGAGATTAACTTTATAAATAATTTGAATTAAATAATAATAAATAGCTCTATGATCTTAGATTACAATAGCACTGTTCATCTCTGTTATTTTGGAGTTCATTTCATGTCAGTTCTAGAATGTTCCACTAGCTGGTGCTAGACACCCATATGAACCAGTTTTAGATTCAGTTGAGTCAGTGAGCTGCAAAAATATTGTAAACTCCGAAATAAATGAACTAAACTATAACAGATGGCGACAAGTGACCGTGCTTATAAGTGAATCACTGAATCATTTGCTCCAAACGATTCGTTCAAATCACTGAGTAAACCACCGTTGCTTTACTACACGCATCTCCATCTCGAGAGTTAGGAGTGTGTGTCACTGAGTGAGGCAGTGTGTTGAGAGAGTCTGTCTCTGTCTGAGAGAATGTAAAGCATCATTCACTGATGCTTCTTATTGAAGTACGGGGCATGTTGTCACAATGTGAACCTGCCATTAAATACAATTGTATAGGCTTTCAGAGCTTTCATTAGTCTCTGTTGACAGAAGCTTCTACTACACAGAGATTATGCGGTATTGCGCATGTTGTTGTTTTGTTGTACAATAGAAAGAACTCTACAATAATTTTTTTTAAAAATGCACTATATGTAAGCGGTTTCAAGAAATAATAAAAGATAACATACAAATATAAATCATTGTTTTGCCGCTTTCTGCTATCAGGGGATCCTAGCACCTCCTCCTGCACGTGTGGCTTGATTGAAATGGCATTTTCCTGAACTGACTCATGCTATGACTCCCAGATCCGGGCTTTTCCAACAGATAGAGGATGCATTAGTGGCCTGAAACACAGCACGGATCAATGCTGGAATCAGACTGATGAGCAGATGGAAAACAGGGATGCTGTGTTTGGTCTGGATGACAGAGAGAGCACCATGCAGCATTAAAATGCATATATCATATTATGTTAAATAAAATAAAGATTTATATTTATATGCACTACATTTCAAATGTTTGGGGTCAGTATGATTTTTGGAGCCCGGTCTCGTGAAAATGCGTATAAATATATATATCAATTTAATATGCTGATTTGCATCTGAAGAAACGTTCTTATTATCAATGTTGAAAACAGTTTTTGCAGCTTAATATTTTTGTGGAAACGGTGATACATTTTTTTTAAAGTTCAAAAGAACAGCATTTATTTATAATATAAATCCTTTTTAGAATAATAAATGTCTTTACTGTCATATTTGATTAATGTAATGCATGTTTGATGAATAAAAGTATTAATTAATTTCTTTTTTAAAAATCATACTTTGACACTCTCGAACTGTAAAAAAAATAAATATAAATAAATCTATTTCTCTTTATTTTTCCATTTCCTAGAAATATTAACTTTAAATTAATTAAAAGTTTTTAAATGTTTTTTTTCTTAAGCTGGAAATAGTAAAACTATAATGTAACTCGTAAACAATACAATGCAAAAATCACTCATTGATTTGAAGCTTTTAACACATTTTTACCAATGCTTTCAAAACTATCTTTTTTATTTGTATTTATTTATTTATTGCAGTTCTGACCAAACCTTATGATAGCCAGCTAGATAACATTATACTGATGATAAATCAGCAGAATATGCAACAGAAATCAGAGAAAACCACGTGTTTAAGTGTGCAAGTCTTTGGTCCCTTTCGTCTGCTTTCATTTCATGGGAAAAGCAGCTTGAACTTTCGGCTAAACATCTCCTTTTGTGTTCCATGCAAGAAAGAAACTGATAGGTTTAGAGCAAACTGAGGGCGAATAAATGATCCATTTTTACATGAACTATCCTTTAAAGTAGGTTTCAGCGAGTGATGCTCATTTCGCATAATAAAGAGAACACCAATAGCGGGACTGTCTGTGTGCCGTATAAAACAGAATGACATCTATTCACTTCCATGTCCACCAAACACCCTTTAACCTCTTTTATGGCCCTCTGCTGATGACAGATGTGGGACGAGAGGCAATCAGACGTAAAGGCCGAGGCTCCATCTCATTGCAGCTGTGATTTGTGCTGGATGTGGAGAGAATGGAGGAGGGGAGCAAACACATTCTTCCTCACACACTCGTTAAAACAACCCTCGGAGAGAAGTGTGAGCTGTCATCATATGCAGCATGACAGCCGGTGTGATGGGGATGCATGGCTTGAAGCGGCTGGATAACAGTACGATCTGCAGCACAGTCGCTCATCCTGAATGAATATACAGCTGCAGGATTTCACTCAGAAATAATACATACTGTATGCATGCAGCTTGTACATTCATGTTTGTGCAAACTCTTCTCTCTCCAGCACAAGTGCA